GTTTAAGTACAATGTTTATATCAGTAAATACTCGTGTAATACTTGTTATGCATTTGAAGGCATAAAATAAAGCTCTATTTTCGGTATATTTATTTTCTTGTGAAAAAATTTGTCAACTGTGTTTGACAAGAAGAAAAAATACAGTTTTAAAAATAAAGCTTCAAATGTTACCAAAAATTTGACATTGGTTTTGTCAGTCTTGCCTTTTAATCTTAATCTTTCAGATTTCTGACAGTTTGCCAAAGTACTTATTTACAGCCTAGTTTAAATAATCGATTATAACTGTCTGAGCTTTAGACACAAGAAATGTACAGTTAAGCAAAGCATTTTGTGTGAGAAACTTGTAATTTCAATATTAGTTTAATTTTCCAAAAGAGTAGATGAGATTTACAGTCAGATGACAGAGAAAACTGGTATTATTCAGAAATTAACTATATTTGCAAAAACGTAAACTTAGCTTAGCCTTTGTTTTTGAATTTTAAAAATATTTTTTAATAGACACTTTGATAGACAAACTTTTCTTTGCTTAACTTTACTATACATTCAGCTTTTAAACATTGAATAAATTGGTTTTATAATAAAAAAAAAGTTTTTCTGAAAGCAATACAACATTTGGTTGCATATTTACAAAAACAAATTTTTTAAAACAAAAAATTTACAAATTTTGACTGTGTGCACTGATTTTTGATTGCTTCTAGTTTCCTACTCTACAAAAAGCATTAAAAGTACTAATACAGTGGCAATTTGGCTTATAGTATTTCGTCGTCCTGACACTCAGCAAAATTAAGCTGAACTTTAATGTACCAAATTCCATAATTATAATTTTTAAATTATTCTAAGAAATGACCTACACAGTTTACTTAATATATCTACTTCTTTCAAATAAAAAGTCTTTTTTTTAGCAATTATCTTAAAAAAACCAAAAATCTTAAAAAATTTTGGCAATTTTCTTTTTTCCTCCTGAGAAATTACAATTGCATCGTAGACACTTTAGAAAGCCGTAACATATGTTAATAAATCCTATAAGTAAATTGAACTTCTCTCTCAGACTTTCATTTTTGCAAAACAAATTCCTTCGTTTTAAAAATTCCAGAGAACTGCAAATCTATTATTTGTGCCAAAGCGTGTATGGTGAAGCAGTCAGCACAAAATGCTTGCAAAGTACTCTTAAAGTTCAAGTTACGAAAAAAAAGCTTAGAATCGAATTTACAAAACATTGAAAATGCTGATACTACTGCGTGCAAAAGAAAAAAAAAGTCTTTCAACTGCTATTAAATTTTCAGAAAATGTTTCACACTATATTGACAGTATTTTAAAATTTTACTAGGATACGGAAGCATGAAAAATTTCCAATAATCTTTTGCAAATGTGAAACCCTCAACGAACGACCACTACCGTATCTCAAAACCCTATTTTTTCAGCTAAAAATTTCTTAAAAAACAATGACAGTTAATAGTGTTGACGACAGTCAAAGTTAACGTCAAAGCAGCAAATATAATATTAATTTTTTTTAGCACTTTCAAAACTTTCAGACATTAAAGTTATTTGAATAACTTTTAAAAAAGAAATAAAACTCACTTAATTTGAATCGTTGTGTACAGAATGTGCCTCTACATTGCAGAAATTTTTATAGAACTCTTCCTCATGTGTTATTTTGACTACTTCATCATTTACCCACTTTTCTAATCTTGACAACTATTATAAAATCTAAAACTTTGGCTTTTTTTATTGTTAAAAAGTAAACAAACAAACAAACAAACAAACAAACAAACAAACAAAGAAATAAAGAAAAAAAGAAACTGAAAACTGATAGTTTAAACTCTAATCTTTCTTTTTTTTTTTTTTTAACTGTATAGTTTTTCGTTGTTAAGATAAATTACCTCGAAACAGCGGTAACGGCAGTTTCTGTAAACAAGCATGACGCCAATGCACGCAATCTTAACTCAAAGCTTTTTCCGCCTTCTTTCATCCAGCAATACCACTGTTACTTAGAGTATCCTTTGGCTAATCTGTAGGTTTTACTGTGATAGCATCAAAGACTGTTCCAACAAATATTTAACGGTTAAAAAACCATAGAAAAATCAATTTATACCGATAATAAACAATAGTTTAAGAATTGTTCTCTTCTACCTCAACTTCCAGATTTAAAATGCACTAATTTGTTATCTAGTGAAGAGTTAAAAGTGATTAAAAAGTTTCAGAGATGACTGTATGCTTTTGAAAACCACGTAATGAATCACTGCTAAAGCATCAATACAGTTTACACAATAGAGCTTGAAAAAAGTGATTATCTTTAGTTTCAAAACAATTTTTCAGATGTAGTTTAATTTTTTTAATTATTAACAACACCAGTTTTACAGAACTGAGGAGAATAGATCAATGAAGTTTTCCACTGCAAACGCCCTGGGTTTGTAAGTTTTTTGTTAGCTAAAGCAATATTTAATTTGATTATGCTTGTTCAATTTATTCAAATTTTTCTTTCTTAAATTTTTCGATCCTTATCTGTCGTAAAAAAAAATAGTAAAATTTATGCAAAATTCTGTAATGCTTTTTTTTTTTTTAAATACACAATTTGGTTATGCTTTAAATTCTTCTAATCAATTACAGTTGACTTTTACATTGACAGTTTTACCCGATAACATAGAGCTGCATCCAGTATTTCTGCTTCTTATATCCTAATGTAACCCGTTTATTTGTTTCACAAGTAAATAAATAAATAAATA